GAATTTTGTCTTAGGGGTGGCAACTAGGCAAGAGTACTGGAAAGCAACCAAAGAACAATGTTTTGGCAGCATCTCTTCTCCCACTAATGGTTTTTGTATGTTTTTTTGTGATTTTATAACTGACTTCCACTTCATTTTAAAATGTAGGTATGTCACACACATCCAGCCCAAAAAGCTTGTATCAAAGTAGTCAGGGTGATGCAATTCTCACCTTACAGCTCCTGCCCTGAGACAACACTGCCAGAGTCAGCCTCCCTAGCCAAAATGTCTCTCTTCACAGCCAGCTACATGAACAGCAAACATTGTGTGAGACCCGAGGGCGTCCAAAATCTTCTGCATTTTGAAAACACACCAAATACTGAATTGCAAACTGAAGATGAAAAATCCACGTTTGCAGGAGTGACCTGTGGGAGAAGTCATGTGCTTTGGTTATCGTGCGTGATTCGGGTTTTTTGAACTTCAGACTTCTGGTGATGTTTGTTTTCACTCCCTGGCATTTCTTGAGAGGGAGAAAGATAGCAGTTCTTCTCATCACAGCTTCCCATCACGCCTCCCCCGCTTTGGTCAGCCACTGGGAAAATGAGTCATGATGCCGAAACCTGAGCCTCTTCCACATCCTTCTGAAAGCCTCATTTCCCACACAGACCACCACATCCATTCCAAGCACAGCAGCCACCACGGGCAATAGCAGGTCAAATACATTTCTTGTGGCCAGATTCACCCATGTGTGAGCACCCCGGGGTGTCTGCCCCGCTGCCTCCCCCAGACAGCCCCAGCTCACTCATCCCCTTTGCTTAAATAAGGGCCTCTCTGTGCAGCACTAGGTGAAACATACCTGTGCCATACCAGGAGCTCACATGCTGCCAAACCTTTCTGGTTTTTTAGATAATGGCTCTCATATCATCTCTGTGCTAACACTGTGCGACACATCACCCCTCCCAATGTTCCCACACTTCCACAGGAAAACAAACAGCAAATCACATATCTTGTCACATAGTCTTTTATTCAGAGACCTGTCAATCCTATCCTGAGATGAGGGGAGGGAAGAGAGGGGCTGCTGCTTTAGCTGATGGGTTTCCCCTCTCCTTCTTGTCCCTCCACCCCACATAGCCACTGCTCAGACAGCAGGAGAAGGCAGGCAGGGATGGGCAGGAGGTCCACATCCATCTCTCCAATGAATCCAGCATTACAAACTCTGAAATAGGAGACAAAACAGACCTTTCTTCCTATCCAGTGATAAGAAGCTGATGCGTCTGAACCTAAAGGAACAAGGACTGCTAGGGGTGGTCTAAGCAACTTCAAAGCAGAATCTAAGCCAACAGCTTACTAAGCAGAGAGGAATTCTTATACGAATCAAGAACTTGGAAATGTTGCCTTCTGGGCAGCATTATTTTTGCTGGAAGGCTCTGGCCAAAACTATCTCGGACATAAAAACAAACTGATTATGCTATAAATATTAAAAACTTTATTGCTGTTTGTGAAATAAACCCTTGGGAAGTCCCTTAGCCTTAATGTAGGGAGGAAAAGGTCAGAGAGGAAGAAGGACATAAGAAAAGGGAAATAATTAATTTAGGACATCATTTATTTTGCTCTCATCCTACTCACTTATAGGAACTTATACCAACTTGCCCCCCCCAGAAACCAGGAGTTGAGAACTATGCCAGACAATATTAACGTGTAATATTCTACACGTTCAATGGGACATTCAGTGATGTGGGAAAGGGAATTTCCGCTAAAACTGTGTTACACCTAAGAAAGCCTTTGGTCATGTTCTGTGGAGACACATTTAAACACCACAGTTGCTCTGCAATAATCTACAATACCTGAACTACAGCCCTCACTTTTCTACTATCATCAAACTAATCACCCAAGATGCAGCCACTAAAGTTTGGCTGATATTTTACCTGGATGAAAATCCTTAGTTTCACTATTATTCATTATCATTCATGAAGTTGTTATTCACAAGGCAGAAAAGAAGTGTTTTTCCTTGCGTTTTGTTAATGGAATTTTGTTTGGGGCTCTTTCACAGTTTACAGATTAAAATTTTATGGCTCATTTGTGACTACTTGGCATTATGAACATTTTCACTGGAAACATGGGAGGATTTCAATAGAAACATTGGTACTGAAAACAGCTAATTGGGGATGAAAGAGGAAAACACATTAATAAGTAGCACTGAGAAGCATGCAATTACTTCAGGAAAAAGAAAAGAAAACATTAAATACATGGTCAAAACATTAAATATCAGTTTAGACTGTAGCAATTGTATGCCTCTCAGTAAATATTACCCAAACAAAAAAGCCCCTGAGCAAAGGTCACAAGTGTCTGAGGCTCCTCACCTGCAAAGGCACTCAACACATGGTGGCTGAGCACCATCAGTCAGTACAGCCCAGTGATCCATCAGGATCTTATCAGGTTTGCTCCACAGGTACATTTCAACAGTTCCTACTCTGGCTACTTGCACTGAAAAAGGGCTACACTTACGAAGGAGAGTGTGGGGTGTCAGAAACGACCAACTAACAAACCAAAAAACCCAAGCAGATACCCCTCTCAGCTGAAGGTGGCACAGCAAACTGGACTTCTCCTCTGACTCCTTGGCTGCTGTCTGGCATAGAGAACATTAACCCTCACCAGAGAACAAACAAACCAGAAATCATAAACTGACCCCAACGATTCTCCCTATAACTCAGCACTCTCTAGCACTTATTTTATGCTTAAGTAGTCTGTCTCCATATCCTGTTAATCACATAATTGCCTAAGATATCTTTGCCCTCTCCCAAAAAAATATATTGGGTAACTCCATAACCACTTAAGGGAGAAAGTCAGTGGCTTACATCATTCTAAAAAACTGAGGTGACCACACAGGGAGGTTTAAAAAGAAATGTTTACATCTATTCTATGTCATGCTAAAACAAACACATTTCTCCCACTGGCAGGAACTGGAAGATACCCAAACGTCTGGGTTTTTTTCCTCCACTAAGTATGTAAGCCTCATTTTTTCTTCCACTGGCAAAGTATGTGCAACAGACAACTCCTGCCTGTTTCATATTTAGTATGCATTAAAAACAAAAAAAAATCCCAATTCTAAGTGATGTTGGAGCAGTAATATTACTTTTAAATTTGACTTTCCACTTTTGGACAAAGTCCAGAGCAACCCAAACTAACTAAGCTTTTGGACCCTGCACAAGGCCTGATGGGAATGACAAAAATCTTAGCAGCAGTTGCTATCACAAAGGAAGACAAAACTGATGGTTAGGGACTTGCATTGTGCAGGCAACAGGATAAAGAGATGTTACTATTTTCAACTGATGCAGCAGCAGCACACACAGAAGTATTGAGTGAAATTACACACTGATAGCAGCTCTTGACTGCTTTTGTCATACATTTCACAGCTCAAGTGTGGTGTGTGGAACTATATATAACTGCTTTGAAAGACTGCCCTTGTTTCATGTTCTAGCATCATACAAATGTAGCAGTAGAAATAAATGTGCATGCTGCAGTTGTGTGGGGTGCTTCCTTTGCAGTTACTGCCACACAGCTGAAGCAGCATTCGACACAACACAGACCCATACATTTAGCTTAGCCTGACCCCTCTTTTTTCATTTTCCAAACTGAGTTTTTTTGGAGTGCTCTTTTTACATCTTAAGTGAATCACAGAATATGCTGAGTTAAGTCAGTGGCTTCCTCAAGAGCTCTTGTCCATTACAAAAACCTTACAGCCTGCAAGGAGACAAAAGCATTCCTATGTGATAGCCACAAGGAGCATGTGCTCCATAACCACAGCATGTGTAAAGTAAAGCTCAGGCTACAGAGAAGAAAGAAGCCACAGCTGAACAGCAGAACAAAGGTTTCTCCAAAGGACACAACACTTCTTCCCAGTTGCCCATGAGCATTTCAATCTCACACTTTGAGATGGTGCAGTAGGATGTATGGTGGAAATTGGGGGATGAATATTTTAATGCAGAAAACACAAGCAGAAGCCAACATTCACACTCCTCCAAGACAGCAGTCCTGCTGGCAAAGGCATTTCTGAGAATGCATGCACACAAAAGCCTTCCTGCCCAGATCATGTGTAAGATATTCCAAAAATTGAATGATGAATGCAGGAAAGCTCCTAGGGAAGTAAAACCTGCATTTCTCAAGATGTAAGTTAAAGCCTGATGAAGGGTTTAACTTGCCCTATTCAGGATGTGATTGCAGGTATAGAGCCGTTTGTGAAGACTACCTGGTAACAGTGTAATAAAACAGAACACAAGATTTGGACTAAAGAAACATTTATGCAAGCAGAAAAGTCTTTTTCCTCTACAACTATAAAGCTAATCTTCTCCATCTGTTTCCTGGTTTGGTTAAGTTTTGGATTTTTACTTTCTCTCCTTTCTGTTCAATAAGCACTAAGAGTATGGAGCATGTTGTTTTTAAAACAAGCCCTGCTTATGAGGAAGGAAAAGTTACCAGCTCATTGACTAGCACAAAATTAGTATCATACTCTCAGTAGTGTCCACCTCTGTTGGTCATTCAGAATTCAAACACTGATTAATTTACTTGTCCATAATACTAGAGGAAACACACAGCTTGGAGAAATGCCCTGCAGTCTGTCTCTACAAGCCACTTAGTGTTCATTTTTGTCTTATTTCCTCTCACACATTACCATCCAAAGTCAGATCTTTTTTTTTCAATGGTTATGTAAGAGAAAACAAAGGTATTGGCTTTTACATACTCTATAGACTACAACAGAAGCCTGCTCAATATTTCAAAAGTGCATGACCCTCACCTATACATGTATGCATGAGTATTAAATATTATTTTCTGGTTTTGTGGGGTTTATGATCTTTTCCAATTAACTGCATAGTTTTACCACCATGACAGTGTATTTAGAGTATTGTGGAGTACTGTACCATGGCAGGATATCTGGAAATGCACAAGGTACTCATTAGGGAAGTCAGTCTAGATAGAGTTTTTGATTGGATAGATACACGTATCTTCACCATCAAGAGACGAGATTTTTGCATAATAGCAGAATTTTTTGCAGGTTAAGCCAGAAGGATATCAGCTGTGAATTATTCCTAGATCTGTGGTACCTTTTTTTACCCCTAAACTGTAGAGCATCCTCTATATTCACTATACACAATAAGAGGTTAAGCATGATGGCCCCCGTTAATTTTTAATGTACAGAAAACGTGACATTGAAGATGAGCAGAATTTCCATTTTACAAGTCTTGTTTAGACAACACCTTTGGAACAGTTCAGCCTTTTTGAGGCTGGACTAGACTACACCACAGAGCCAATAACATGGCAATTTCAGCCCTTTTCTTGGAGGCGGGACCAAACTGCTGTAGGGTTCAGCTGCAAACACAGCAGCAGTTCACATCTCTAGTACAGACTGCCATCTCAGGGAGTGGAGGAGAGTGGCAAAAGACAGATATATCTGCTTTGATCAGAAAGGTCCAAACCAGCCTCCCCAGCCATTAGTGAGTCACAATCAAGCAATTAATTGAGAAGTGAATGAAACGCTCTGTGGGGCTGTAGCACAATTTCATCAGCTCGTTGCAGCAGAATGGTGACATCTTCACAGACAGAATTACAGTGTTTTTTTAACATCTTGTTATTACATGTGATTCCTGCCCCAGTCCTAAGTGCAAACTAGCATTTAACTTCCCTCTTTCCCCACCAATTATTAAATATAAATCCTTCTTTTCAACAAGACCAAAGGAATAGAGGCTGTTGGCAATGTATCATCTACAAAAATAGTTAGTCTTATAATTAGAAGGTAATACGAAATCTTATTTTCTTTTCATTTGACTAAGCTGCACCCAATACTTCAATACAGGAAAGTACAAACTCTATCTGTTTAAATGTAAAAATATATACAACTATATTTAACATTTAAATAACTTTAAACACAACTGTTTGCATACTAACAATCTTATGTACATTCCTTCTTAAACAATACCTCTTTAATATGCTCCTCTTTTGTTAAACAAGTTTTATTTTCCTCCCAAAATACTCAATGCTACTTTAAAATTCTGGAGGGGTAAAAATTAGAGCTATATAGAAAATAGCAAGATGTCTTACAGTTGTAGTGGATGATAGCAAATATTTTTCATAAAAACAACACGTCATTCAAAAACTGAACCACTGTAAAAGTTCTCATAAGTCCAACAGGACTGTCTTTAAAAGGTTACTTTGGTTAACAGCAAGTCATTCTTAAACAATTAAGGAAAAAAATATATATATTCTTTCACCACCTCTACAGATGCATTTCCTTGGCATGTTGTAGCAATCCATATACCTTCACAGATGAGCACTGCAGTTGTTCAGTGCTCCTTATTTGTACTGTGATTTCAATAAAATAGATATGTATATAAGGTTGGATTGATTTATAATTAAATTCGTCCAACATCCTAAAAATCTCTGAATAAGAGAACTCTCTTCCTAAGACTTCATAGGAACTCTGGATATCAGAGAAAGAACAGTAACCCTACTACTTCTTCTTCACAAGGTTGATCTCATGTAGTACTTGAAACAGCATCACCAAATTGCATGAAACTGCTGCTTCCCTGCTCATTTTCCCAGTCAGAAGAGTGACAACTTTTGTGAGTTCTGCATACTCTGACACCCTGCAAGTTGCACCAGCCTCTGAGCATTCAGACAACTAAAGTGCCCCTGGACTTCACAGTAATTCAATGCTTTCCTCTGAGTCATTATGCATTTTCCAGGTCATGTGTGGCCTCTACCTCACTGAAATTTTACTCATTTCCACAGGAATAAACGCCTTCGGTTTTTGGCCAGGAAGAGGAACGTGATCTTTATCTTTCTCCCCTCCTTGCACTGTGAAACTCTCTGATCCATCAAAAATGACAAACAAAAAGGCAAAAGTGTAAGATTCTCCAGGAAAAGAAAACCGCATTAGTCACTGTGTGTCAGCAAAGCTGCAAAGTAGAGAAGTCTGACCAACAGGCAAAGGCACTTGGTAACAGCACTGGGGACAAGTCAATGAGTCAACAATTTCAGTCTTGTGATCAAATTGACGAGCAGTGAGGGCTCTGCCGAGGAGGATTTCGTGGATGATGTAACCGATGATTTTTTAGCACCTTCCTCTTGAAAAGGAATCGTTGCACTGTTGTGGAGGTCTGTATTCACAAAACACCTGCTGCCTCGAATATAATCCGTTCCCCTCGCTAACTGCTTGTCAGACACTGGCCTGGAGAGCGGCTGCTGTGTGGAGGGGCTTTCCTCAATGATTGGGGGTATCCTTTCGTTGCTGAAGTACCTGCAGAGGACATCTTCACCTGTACAAACAGGAGGAGGAAAACCAATTATGGCTGACTTCAAAACCCTCCATTAACATTTTCTATTTTTATAAAAGTGTTCTCGTTACACTTCAAATACCTAGATCTGGGGTTTTGCTCACAAAACACCTGGGCATAAGCAGCTATCAATAGAATCACAGCTTTTTTGCGTCTTTAATGTTTTTAAAGTAACACAAATAATGAAATAAATCCACACACAGGAGATACCATTTGACTGTTATATTCCAGATTCACACACACCAAAAATGCTGATACAGACCTTCGTATAAATCATTATCATAGGTGAGATGTAACAAACCTTCCTCTAATATGCTATTATAAACTTCTCAATGAGTAACTTAAAAGCTACTAATATTACTCTGGACAAGACTAATTTTGCAGGTGAAGATGTAAACACTTCCCTCCCAGGTTTTGACCAGTGATTCATGATGCTTTCTCTGTTTTCACTCTTCCCTAGACACCTAACCAAGGCAGCTGCTGCTAAAGACACCCTACTTGACAAGGCCTTTGGTCCTGACCCAACACAGCTTAAATACAAGCCTGAAGTACTTAGTTACATTTCAAGCATTTAAAAAAGGCAACACAAAACCAAAGGTAAAATCAAACAAAAACCCATACACATAAAAACCAGCCCTGCCACCTGGTGATCACTCTCTTAGTATCCCTCCAGGTTGATGCTTCTCATTATCAACTTCTACTTTTACATGAAAATAATAGAATCCAGCTTTGATTTCACCTAGAATTAGACATTAGCTTTCGTAACTGATTCCAAGAATAAACTAGTCATCCTTATTTCCCACTCTAACAGGACTCAAGTCATCTTTCAGATGCAAAAGAGGGTAGGAAGAGGACAGTGTGGGAAGTAAAAAAAGCCATCCAACCGAACACAAAATGTTATGAGCTTCTGTCTCTCTCCCATTCAGTGATGCCTGCAGAATATGCTCCTTTCTAACAGCAGTAGCAGTAAAAAGCAGCTCCTAAAAGGCCCTACATTTTATATTTTGTGAACAAGTTTGTTTCTTCAACAGCCTCCACAGTGAGCTAAACAAAAAGAAAGACTTAACAAAAAAGTAGTTTCATGATCAATACTAAATGCAGTAGAAAGGGAGAGGACTGTGTGCAAGACCAAAACGGTAAACCTGTGCTATAAAGTCGTAAGTACAGATCTGCCCGAGCAGATCATTCTAGCTAACTTTTAATGCTCACTACAAGTCTAAGGCAGAAGATTTGAGTCCCACCACTGAATACCCCCAGAAATTTCACAGTTACCATCTGGAATTCCTGCTAAACACAAAAATGGTCACCTTGCATCAGGTTCAAGCAACGTGCAAACCATAATCCTTCATTCCTAATTTAAACACTTTCATGTAGTTCACCCCAAGGAAATTTTGGAGACGACAAGAATGAGGGACAAAACCTAAAACTTCACCTTTTCTCCCTGATCCTCGTGGCCTAGAGAAGGGTTCTGCAGCTCCTATCCAGCTTCCATCAGCAGGCATTGACAGAGGACGAGGTTTTCCTAGAGATAACATAGAAGGTTATGAGGAGTTCATAAAGTTGAGGAAACCAATTTTTTTTTTTTGCTTTTCCCAGCTAAACAAAGGGAGAGATAAGCAATAAGGAGCTCAAATTGCAGAAAAAAAAATCATATTTAAAGAGACTTCCACTGGTGACATCTAAGAAATCAGTGTGCTGAGATTAAACAGCTGTCCTCTTGGTCATTTAGAACAGGAGTGGACACAATGTTATAACCAAAACACATGTGGAAATGGCTTTCTGTACCAGCAGACCCCAGCTGAATGATATTCATTACAGAAATAAGCGTTTAAGAGAAATTATTTCAGATGTAGAATTTCATATTCACAATTTGTACAAATGGCCTTAATATCAATCAATTCTGATGAGCAGTTTTCTAACACAAATCATTTCAGACTGATCAAAGCCCTAATCACAACAGTGACAAAAAGAGAGGAATGAACTCACCATAGGACTGTGTTTTCTCTCTCATCTTGGCTGGTAGGATATTTACTTCCATGGGATACCCCGGCAGCTGATCTGAATCAGCAATAGTAAACCTTCGCCTTCGGCTCTCCTGATCCAGAAAAGAATTGGGAGACTCAGCGCCCTTGGACCCAGGTAGTGGCTGACTGCGTTTGTTGCCTCCTCCATACACAAAGCTCCCCTTTTCATCTCTGAAAGGACATGACACTTCAGTTAGTGCCTTGAAAGAGTTTAAAGCTACAGACATGAGTAGGTTTGAAAGATGCATCTAGCAGCAAGTCATGCTCGTGACAACTGGCATTGTGCTGCAAACAAGCTGGAAAAAAACCCCAGATAAGTCAGGTGATAGAAGACTTCATTATATTTAACAAGGAGAAAAAAAAGCTATCCCCCTCATGCTAATTCACTCTTAACGAGCCCCTAATTTAACACACTGAGAAATTCAGAGGTTCCACTCCTGCAAAAGATTTTGATAAATGAGACCTTTATGTCCTGAGGGCATCAAAGCCCCCGATTCACTGCCTGCTCAGTACATAGTTGTGACTCGGTAGTGCTACATAAATTTATCCATCTCTGTATGTGTAATGGTAACACCTATTATCTCCATCTGAGGGACTCTGTCTTTCAGTCACTGCAGAAGTCCAATAACTGTCACTGAATATTTACCACCTTCTATCTCCCTCCTTGAGAGTTTCAGTAACAGATTCATGGTGTCTGTATATATCTATATATACATATATGATTTTGATTAAATTCTGCAAGTACTTTTGGAAGAGAAACTACCCTTCAAGTTAAGATTTGCCTGGAGGCTTTTTTCCCCGCTTCCTACATGTTACAATCTTATTGCTTGAAGCAACCATTAGCCAAGTCAGGCATAAAAAACACATAGCTGACTGTCTAAGCACATATATACTCCAGTATTCATAGCAGGCCCTGGACAGCACATCCTATTTGTCCAGCTCTCCAGAAGAACAATGCTACAGCTCAGTGAATAGGAAGGAGCTATTCATGGACGTGCAGAGACCAAAAATTGCACTCATGTGTTGCACCAGAAATGTATGCATGTGGAGAGTTCTCCTACACCACCACCATGTGGAGACTGTGCCATGGGGAGGGAAACCAAACACTGCTCTGTGACTCCCAGTGTGGAGCAGAGGAGATCCGTGCCAGGAAGGGAAGAGAACAGGATGATGCAGGGGAATAATCATCACATGAATGCACCACAATTTCAAGAGAAAAGGAAAACATGCAGAGGTCAAAATAAATGGCCAAACAGAAGGCAAAAGAATTGTCCTTTCTCCTCTTCCTGCCTGCCATAGCTTCTCACATTTGCTTTCTTTAAAAGTCAAAGTCAGGATGCCTTTCCCTTTCCACACATCATCCAGGACAAGTTTTACAGCTTGTATTGCAATTTCAGGTCTAAAGGTATTTGAAGCTCGATATAATTTTGTGTCTCTTCAGAAAACATAAACAAATTGAGCACATGGGCATAATTCACCAGTGTACTTGAAATTTAATGATTTGAAGAAATGACAAAGGCATTCATCTACTAAATCTATATGCTTGTTATTATGCCAAAAGATTTACAAAAAACCCAAATCTTTAAATAAGAGCTGAGCATGTGTAACCATAAAAGCAAGGTCAAGGTGGGTCCAACTTCAGTAAAGAGACCCTACCTAAGCGAGCCCCTCCTCTCAGTCCTGCCTCAAAAACTGCAGTAATATAACTTCTCTCTCTGTATCAGCCCTTACAAGACAGGAGGCAAGTGCCCACCCATAAGGCCTGCAGCAAAAGGCCAGTTTCTGTGCTGGGCTAGCTACATGCAACCTAAAATGTCAGGGAAGGCCAGGAAGCGTGCCTGCCTTCCACACCTTGCCTGAAAACCCTTTTTTCCATCACATTCCCAGATGAGCTGGCAGAGTTCTAGCATGAGTCAACATTGACTTGAGAACAAACAAGAGTCAGCCTTACCATATACATAACTCCCCCTCCCGCTGTGCACACAGGTCTGCATTTTTATAGCTTACACCACAGGATAAAAAATAAAAGTTGATGTATTGCCTCTCCCTTCCCTTCAGTGGGAACATATTTGTTTTAAACAACTTGCAAGTTTAAAAATTTAACGTGATAGGCGTCATTTAACATGACATTCTTTTCTACCCTAACTCCCACAACAGTTACTCAATTTGCTCAAAAAGAAAAAATCCAACAGTGAAAAATGTTAGGGACAAAAATTACTTCTTGCTGTGTGCAGCTGGATTTAAACAGTGTCAGAAACATAACTCCCAGCAAAACCAGAGATGACATTGGTTCGTGTTCTGGGAACGACTCTGTGGCACACAGTCTTCCAGTAATAAAATCTGTTACAATCCTGGTAGTATCACACTTAAGCATAAATTTAAGCAATCCAACTCATTTAGGCAGCCAGAAGAAAGTTTGAGATTTGCAGCTCCCTCCATCTGATCTGCACAGAGCTCTAACAGCAAGCCAGCTCAGAAACAAGTGCAGTGAAGGAGGTTTTTGTTCAGAGTTTGTTTGCATACCGAGGAGAATATGGAACAGCTGGTGGAGGGGGTATGTACAGATCCAAAATGGCTGGCTTCTCCTTCTTCAGGGACGTATCCACGGTGCTTTCTGGTGACTGAGTTGAAGCTGGTAGAGGACTGGTCTGAAATGTTAAACAGCTATCAAATATCTGAACATTCATTTATCATTCACAAAGAGATAATTTAATAATCAATAGCACCATTTTCTTCCCCTAGTGAACTACTATCTCTGTGATGCACGAACACTTTAAAAACTCTTAGAATCCACATTTTCCTCCACCCCCAGTCTTGGCTAGCAGTACAGGCCCTCCCACAGAAGTCCTATCATGGGTAATGCATTGCTCAAGAATATTTTGCTCTTTCCAGTTCTTTTTTTCCTGTAAATTCCACAGACAAAAAAAGCAACTGAGACAAAATCCCCTCTTCTATTTTTAGATGCATTAAAATAATGGAATTTGTTAAATACAGATATGATTAACGAGCCTTGTGAAGCTGGCATATGCTACCTTTATTCCACATGCTCCAGTGCCTGAGGCACAGACAAGAATATAGTGGCTCAACATAGATTGGATCAATAAATATAACTAGGGCCAAGGAAGCAAATTAAAAATAGATTGGGCATTGCTCATCTTTGTGGCTCACTTCTATATATTCTCAGCATCTTTCCAGATTCCTGTCTGCCTACAGGAGAGAAAAGGTTTCAAAGACCTTTCTTCTCCAATCACTCCCTCCCCCAGGGAAACATTGCTGGGCACAGCCTATAAACCAGCCCACCTCAGCTCTGGTAGAACACGTCGGGCATGATGCCACAAAAACAGGACACATGCATTGGTGAAAGCAAGGATGAACGAGTAGTTAAGTATACATCTTTATCCATTTTGAGAGAAAGCTGCCTTCATGGAGACTTGTGATAACCACTAGCATTTCACAGGTTTAAATTATCCCCACGGCTGTAGGGAGACCTGTATCAGAACAGGAGGAAGAGGGGGAACTCTCCCGGATTTTATTAATTTCCGATAATTAGTTTAAATTCAGTTAGGTTGTTCGCTCCTGCAAGCATTAAGCTCTAAGTTTCCTAATACAACAAGCCATTCCTCAACTTGGTTATTTAAGAATTACTAACATCACTTTCTCTGTCTGCTTAGTACCCAATCTGTGAATTGCCCAACAACCAAATCTTATTTAAACATGTAGTTTAAATAATTTCTTGAAAAAAAAAAAAAACAAACACTTTCTCACCCTTCACTAGGCTAAAGGGAGGATAAATATTTGGAACAATCTTCAGTTATTTCAGAAAAAACATATTACTTTGATAAACAGAGAAAGCATTTATTTATTGCTCCATGCTGATGGATTCCATACATATCAGCAGTTTTGCCTCAGTTAAGTTCCCCCGTGACACACAGGCTGATAAAAATATTCAGCACACCTAGTCCCTTTGTATACCAAGAGGGCATTATATGACTGCAAGGAAAAAAAAAAAAGAAAAAGAAAAAGACAAGAACATTCTCCCTTTTATCTAGGAACCATAGGAGGACAGCCATTTCACCTAACCAGCCTTGACTATACTCAAACATGAGTACTTTGAGGCATTTCTGAGATTTCTCCTGTTTTCTAGCTGCAACCAAGGCATTCCCATCCTGAGATGAGAGTGGAGCTGGCAGGCTCTCACCTGCACCAAGGGTGGTTTCCAGCGCAGGTTCTTCAGTGGAGCAGGAGTGAAATGAAAAGAGCCAGTAGGACGTTTCTTAAGCAGCAGCCTAACTCCAGCAGGATTCTCTCGCAACTTTGCCACCAGATTTTTTAGTTGCCATCCAACCTGGGAGAGAATAAAAACATCTTTCATTTAGCATTTCTCTTCTGAAAGCAAACAAACAAGAAAAAGGCAAATCCCCCACGTCACACTGTTTTGTTTTGACACAAACCTAGAAGAGATAAGAGATCCAAAAAAGCCATCCTAAGAATGTTTTAAAAACTGGAAAGCTCTTTTTTAAAAAAGCCATCCTAAGAATGTTTTAAAAACTGGAAAGCTCTTTTTTTGCAAGGTTCTTCATTTTCTTTCCAAGTTCTCTACTTAAGCTGTAAACTAAATACTGAGATATCAAGCAGTGCTCTTTATATCTCAGTTCCAGTCCTAGAATGGATATGCTCAAATTGACAAACACGGGGATTCACAGTGAGCTACTTTTGCCACGTTTCTTTCTCACACTGAAAGGCACTGACTAATGTGCTCAGCAAAAATGTAATCATTACATCCAGGTTCCCATATGCAAATGACTGGACAACCATTGGCAAATTATTGGGGGGGGGGGGGGCGTTTTAAAGCTCTTTACCTGCATTTCAGTGGATTGTAACAAGGCATTTTAAAACAGGTCTTAAATGCAACATGAAATATTTTGATATATGTGTATTTTATCAAAATATTGCAAAGAATAAAATTTGTCTTGAAAATAAAATGTTCAAAAGCCTCAGACATTTCACCAGGAAAACACCAGAACTGCCTCCTGACCCCATCCATTCAGCCCCTGTGGTGCAGAGGAAGCACAAGGGAAGGTCTGTAATGCTGCAAGTTACTCACCACAGTTTGCCGATTAACCTGGATCACTTCATCACCAGCGTGAATCTTCTGGGAGCGATCAGCAGGGGACTGCAGGGAGGAAAACAAGAGTCATGTGCTGCAGCAGGTCTCCCTCCCACCCAGAACAATCCCCACCAACCAAGTCTAAGGTTGCATCAGCAATGCTCTACATTATACATAATTTTCACATCTGCTGATGACTTGAGAAATGTAAATGAATTAACCAAATTATTTATTCTTCTACTAGAGAAACTAAAGGTGAAGAGAGAAGGCATAGCCTCCATCTCTTACAGGCCAAATGGTACATAAGTCATGGGGCAACCTCCACTCTCCTCTTCCCTCCAGTTTGTACTACAGTTTTAGACAGTCATGGAAGAGGACTGATGAGGATTTCTGGCCTAACACAAAACCATCTCAAACAGCTTTTAAATAAATGTGTATTTATTTTTAAAAAATCATTAAGGCTTTGAATGTACAGAACAAAGGACCAAAACTCCTCCAACCCACAAGATAGTGCAAAGAATCTTTCTCAATGTAAATAAAAGTTTCTGACTTTAATGTGAAACTGCCTGCCTGAATCACCAAAGTCAGCAGATAAAAATATTTGCATAGACAGGTATTTTTCAAATATCTATCTAATAATAGTACATGTTAAAATACAATCTTCTTGGAACAAAACCTAAGCTCTGGGGAGCCGTTAGCAAGAAACGGATAAATATGTCAATCTTTAGATTTATCAAGAACTGGTGCAATGCACCAGCCTTTGCTGCAGTTATTAAAAACACTCTCACTGCTATAACACACAACTTGTACTAGCCTTGCCAACACCCAAAGCACACAGACATGATACCTTGGTGCATGCTGCACCCTGGTCACAGGACAGCAACTCCTCCCATTCCCCCCACCTCATGAGTAACCAGGCAGCAGGCCAGCTCTTCCTAGTGACTCCAGAACTAAGCACTGGGATTGAGGACTCCCTTTTCCACCTCATCACACCTTTAGACCTCAACTAACTTTGTTTTGACAAAGAACTCTAAGAATAAACAGTGCAACAAAGGAAGAAAACATGGGGAATTTGTGGGAGGCTCCAGCTATCACAAGTAACCCTGTTTCTACATTGTCTTCTTGCTTCCTCTGAGAGGAAATGCCTCTACGAAAGCTGCATATATAGGAGTCAACCAAGATCATGAAAAAATGCTGGGCCAGAGTCAAGTCTGTGAAAAACAAAGTTCATTTCAAGCTGTCCTTTGGTGACCAACAGCTCATCTGAGGGAGGGTGGGGGACCCTTGCACAGAGAACTCCTGCAGCAAGTGACAGGTGACAGCACTGGGATCACATCATGAGAACAGAGGAAAGAGCAAAGTTTAGCTCTAGGCGAACGTGGCATGCAAAGTCATGTAGGATGGCAGGAATCCTCTTGGCTGACTCATACCAAATGGACTTCCCCAGTTCTTCCATTGTTCAGTACTGCCAATTCCATCGCATTCCCATACAACAGCTCCTGGGGATAGCTACTAAAATACCATTCCAAATCTAGCAAGAAAATTGAACCTGGGTCATCTAAATGATACCACACCACCATAAAATCATCAGTTGTTCACAGATCTCTCAGTCGCTTGTCAAGTTCTGCTGCTCCAAAGGAAGGAGTTTCCCCAAAGGAAGAACCAGTGTTGATAACAAAAAGCAGACACTTAGGTCAACACTCAATGCTACAGAAAGAAAACAGACCCAAAATAAGACCTACATGCAGAAGCAGTTTGTCAGCAGTCAACATTAAATTCTTTTGCATTTATCAGATGATAAAATTGCTGCAAAAGTGGAAGTGGTCTCTGTGGCAGATCCTATACAGAGTTATGCCAGGACAAATGTATCAAAGCAATGGAAGCTTTCACTCTGCACTCTGAACTGCAGAGATGTCCACCCTCTCCTGCCTGGTTCCTGGACCTGGCAAGGGAACAATTAGAATCTCTGGTTCTTTCCTATTCACAAAAAAAAAGCATTGCTGCAAAAGCCAAGTTTGTCTGCTCTTTTTTTCTTTCAGTCACTGCTCCTGGACAGTAGTAGCCTGTTTGAAAACACCACAGCATCACCTGCCAGCCTCAGCTGCTGGCTAGAGGTCCATTCCTTCAAGGGCTGCCCAGAAGCCTTCAGTAAACTCTCAGCTACAAAGGACTCAGTGTACAAATAAAACAAGGAACCACCTGCAGTAAAAACTAGTTGCTTCTGTTGCCAAATACTTCCTTCCAGCTGACCACTCTTAGAGTCTTACTTGTTCATAATCTTTTCACTCTGCAAGGTAATTTCGTCACGGGACAGCTCACTGATTTCATTACTCATTACTGAATTTAGCCCACTACCACCTAAGTGCTCCCATTAGGGGAGATTGCCTTTGCCAGTGGAGAGCAAATACATCCAAGACTTTGTTAAGCAAGACACCATAAGAGCTCAGACCAGCAGATACAGTAACTTATTAAAGCAATTACTTTAATGCCAAGCATTTGAACTAATTTGTGTACTTGCAGAAACTGGTTTAATCAGACTAACAGTGAAACATGTAGGCACAAAATATTTGCAAACTGTGGATAAACAAACGATGGATCACGCGGTGCTTAAAGCAGTAATGCCATGAAAGTCATGTCTAAAACAACAAAAAGTAAGTCAAACTAACTCAATCAAAGCTGCTGTCTGAGATCATCTACATTTGCTTCACTTACATTTTCTGTAGTTCCAGTAATTACATGCAATCCATCATAAGTTGATTTGATGTACATTCCCTAAATATAAGGAAAAAATGAAAAACAAGTTTAAAGGCAAAACAAACCACATAACTTATCTGATTAAAACACTGTTGACAACAGACTCTAGACATTATTAAAACCAGTTAACAATTCATATATTCTCCCTAGAAAAGTCTATGGTCTAATATTACAAAACTCTAAACTTCCTCACAGATCACTTTTAGTGTAATTTATTGTAATATTTATAATGACTTAAAACACCTAGTGTATGGAATGAGACTTAAAAACGCTCTCTGGTTGGTAATACCAAACACTGCTGGTTTTGCTGCCTTGTCAGTCTTTGGCCTTGAACAGAACTTTATTTCCTTACTACCCAGCCTGCTCTGGAGAATTACAGGTTTTAATAGGTGGCCACCAGTTCTCTCCAAACAGAGCAGACTCACACAGGTGGGCTACAAGTATTGCTGACATGTTCTTTTGCAGCTTCTCTTGGTAAGCCAATACACAAATAGCCTCATATCCACAATGCTTACACAAGCACTAAAAGTTCCAGCAGAGTATTTGTGGCTCTGTATGCTAATGTTGAGTGTGAGCATAAGGACAAACTCGATGAAGTGTGTGTTGACTACAAGAGCACCAAATTAAAAATCACGAACAGGTTATTATCTAATAATGACATAGGTTTCCCACAAGAGATGACCAGCATATTGATTTAATCGTTTAGGAACAAATGCATAACTACTTTTTCTTTCTATATCTGTTGTTAGAAACACACACACTGAGAAGTAAAGGACTGGATGTTATTCAGGAGCTGAAAGCAGCTTAGCTGCCTGAAGTTACCACACTTGCTTTAAAAGTAGGTGAAAAAACAGATGATCTTTTTGACCCTTCCTCTGCAGCCAATTGCCTGCCTGTTTTCCTGTCAGTATCCAATTGGGTGCACCCACCTCCTTGTTTCTTACTTAGGCCAAGCTACACTGACTGCTTCGATGTAGCTTGTGCATTAACAAAGAGGTTCTCATAATTGCAAGAATGCATGACTGATTCAGTCAAATCTACTGGTCTAGGTAAAATTATATAGCATAGTAAGGCTGTGCAGCTTTCCCTAAAAATGTTCATTTCTCCTGCCTTCAGGGCTAGGGGTGAATACAAACACACGTAACAATTTAAATTCCCTCCAACTCATTCCAACACATCTGTTCCCTAGACAGAAAATCAACCAAGATTTCAAATTAAGTTTCTCATAACCACCACTCAGCTAAGCAGAATCCATTGAACAAACAAGAGTCAGTAATGAGACCTGGCCACCAAACAGTTAGAAAATTCTATTTTTCCTGCTAACAGCAAACCTCAAAAATTCTCCCATTCATCTCAATCTTGCTATAAACACATATTAAAAAGCATATTTTAAAACACAAAGATCATTTCTCATTGCCTTCTCCCTCTCCCAGACCCCCCTACAAAAAGAAAGTGGTTATGGTAACCTGAAAGCTACTTCCACAAGCATTTGTAAATTCTCTAATATCCTGGTTAACACACAAATCTTCAACAATTTAGAATCAGAAATTATATTTGGGATCCAGCCTATTAATGTGCATATCTGTCCCTAGCACATATACCTCAGCACACCACCTAACAACTGACCTTTAGGATTCTTTCTCGTGTCTCTTTGTTTTCCGCACAGGTTATTATTGGTTTTGAAACACTTTATTATAAATACACGCTTGCATTGGCTCACAGGGCTACCTATTAAATACTGGGAACATCAGGACATTCCAGAATTGCCTCTTACCAGGCCTTCCCCAGGTTTAATGTTGGTTAAATGGACCTCCTCCAGACAGGCACACTGGCTCATCAGTGGGTCTGTAGTTGATCGAATGGCTTTATCACAAATGCCATTTAGAGTCTTGGCCTGCAATGAGAACATACAAAAAACAGTTAGGAAAACTCTCTCATGGCTTCTTCTTCTTTCAGTTTTCAAAAGATATCAAGGAAATGAGTTCTAAAATCACTGAAATAGAAGATTCATTTGTACAGATCTATTCCACAACATGTTTACATCCTTACTGTAACACAGAAACAACCTATTTCCATTAGTGCCACCTTACCATCACTAACAGATGCTGACACATCCTCTGTCTGAGAAAATAAACACACAAAATATAGCAAAAAAATTGGGTTTGGGGTTTGTTTGCTTTAACCAAATTAGAACTCATTAAAATATTGAAACATTTTGATGGTTTCTTGTGGGAACAATTGACAGCTTTTCATGTTGTTCTGTACTTCTTCTATAAGAATACAATTGGCCATGTATCACAAAAAGTGATGTCTGCACAAAGCCTTGCAGTATAAGTAGGACCATCCAGCACATAAATGCTTCTGCAGTATTTCACTATGCCTCTGAACTGACCTCTTCTGGAATGCTTACATAGGCAAGGTTCATATTTCCTTTTGACCAAAACATAACTGATCCTAAGCCAACATTATAACTAAAGGCTAATTCTGACCTTGGCGTGTGTGTCAGTAAAGTTGGAGGCAGAATGGCATGTAACTATCAGAATGTCTAATTAAACATGAAAAAAAAGAAGAAAAAGTTTAAAAATCTGTGCCCTCTCTACACTCACAAATTTCATTATGTCCCACTGTGTTCTCTGTCTTGACATCAACTGAAGCAAGGCTGACACTCAATGTTGGTTACAAAATCTTAAAGGAGAGGGGAGAGATTAGTACACAGTACAGTAGATAGCTATAAACAGTTTGCAAACTGAAAGGTAACCAACCTTGCACAAGGGGCTTGAACCCTTCAGTCAAAGCAGACACATGAAATTACAGAATGGGAGGTGAGGGGAACGTCATAGGAAGACATTGGTTTGGATTAAAATGGTCCCTGGAAACAATAGCTCCAACGTTTTCTGATTCATTTTACGTCAGATTTATAGAGCAGCAATAAAATAAATCAAAACAATGTTTAAGTGTGAATGTGAGGAACTGCTCAAACAAGGGAATTCCAAACAACAATACCTACTTCCAGTGTGGGTGTGCACAAATGGAAAAAGAAAGATGCAGAAAACTCCCTTTTACATGGTCTCATTATTTATGAACAAAATTATTTTTAGTTATTGTGCTACTAAATTCCTAAGAATCTATGAGCTACCGGAAGGCCTTATCAAAGAGCACAGCCTGGTTCATGTCAAAAGCAGGAAGCGATGATTAACTGTTACAAAATATAAAAAGCATTCCATTACACCCTGCGTTTAGTCACAAGGCTGCTTCAAACAACCCTAGAAATTCAAGATCAAGCACAGAGCCAGAGCTTCAGTTCTGTGGCAGGGCAGTTCTTCTACATGAAGAAGCAAAATAAGGCACTTCACAGGCATAATTGGTTTATTTAGCCTGTCATGATTTTACAGTACTAGTCCTCCCTTGAAAATTTGAGGTTAAATTCTCTTGGAAATATAGCTGTATAATGAAACTTTAAGGAATACTTTACTCCATGCTATCACTGCACACAATTCATCTCCTGAAATTTCAATGATTTCCTCTACAGTAAAGAACATGCACAAAACAAGTCATAGTAATATTTACTTGTTCATTTGGGACTGAAAATCTGTTGTCAATACAGCCAACATAGAAACAACAGAAATGAATGTGAACGCAGACAGCTGAGTTTCAACAGAAACATAAACTTACCACAATCTGGACTTTATCTTCCATGTCAGCCACAGTGCAATCCTGAAAATAAAAAAAGAACAAAACCCCTATTTTAACCAATAAACATGGAAACAAATAATCTCTGAAAACTCTGCAAAACTTCCATTTTAACCTCAAATAGAAAGAGTTATTCATGCTGCAGGGATTAGTCAGATTAGTTTCACCCAGTAGGGCTCAAAAGGACTGTTAAGCAACTATTTTCTGGCCCTGGTAGAAAGCAATAATAAACCTTGAAAACTAAGAGAATGTGGGATTCAATTACAGCAGCTGACTTTTCCAGAAAAGCAGAAGCCTGCACAATTAAATCAGATTCTCAGAAGGCCAGGCAGATGTGTTTGCCTTACACTGATAAACCCCAATTCAGGTACTACTCTGCTCCAGGCATCACAATGGATCTAAAACATACTGTTAAAAATAGAAGGGGAAGTGATCCTTTTAAAAATATGGTATCAATGACATTCCTGAAGGGCAGAAGACTGCACAAAAGGCATTATTTACAAGGCCAGGTATAAAAGTCTCTGAACTGAAACAAGTTCATGTAAAAATCCACGAGTCATCACTGTTTCCTGCAAGAAGTGGTGAACTGGAGAAGGATACTATTCTCAGATAAAAAAGTTAAACCAACACGTAAATAATAAAACAAGATTTACAATATCTACAAGGAGAAAACCCCCAAGCATATCAATAAGCTTAAGAATGAGTCACATTGGAGAAGTTTGTAGAGGACTTTTCTTTGCTAAATGCATCTGCACAAATCAATAGCAAATGCCATCTATCATCACGCAGCCAAAATGTTCAATATTGCAAAGATCCTTCTGCTCCCACTCATTTCTGTTTATACTGTTTATTATTTCAGACCTAAAGTTTAACATGGAACTTTAAGTGGAATAAAATCCTGTTCTTGAATCTATATAGCTATCAAAGGTAACTAGAATCTTCTTGCATTCCTGCCTTGCTTTATGATGATATGCTTTTATATATAATTTATGCTTATGCAGAGCAGCATTGGTTCCAGGAGAGCCACTCTGGCCTCTTCTTCACCATTAGAACTGACCACCTGTTTCTATAGTCTACACCTTAATGAGAAGTACTTTTGAACCCTCCCAGAGATTTTTCAACTGTATCGCTTTTTCACATCAGCAGCCTCCTTCAGACTATTCTAGAATATGTACCCCATGCTGGTTCTTCCCCCATTAATGCTTTGCTCATATTCACCAACCCTATCTTTTATTATAGCTCATATCAAATAGGCAGAGAAGTAGTCTGACGTTTTAAAAGACCAGGGCTGTATTCACAACTTCCATTCCCCTGCCATCAAAGGCTGATCTAACAAAGATTAGACACCATTTTTAGCAGTTTTATTAATAGATTCAGCAATCTCCTATCCCAGTTCACTCAGTAGCACTCTTGGGTGAACAGCATCTGCTGCCAGAAACACGTACTGTGCACAACCTGCACACCTGTAGGTGTAAATCACTGAGTGTGTGTGACTGCACATGGAGCACCCCAGCAGGAAGGGCACAGAACAGCATGTGCACCTTGGGGTACCCAGACACCATCCTTTCACAATGACACAACTGACACCACTGTGTGACATCACAGCTTGACAACTCAGGACGTTTCTGTCCTCTGACATCATCCCTTCAGCATGCGGAGGAAATCACCCATGTCACAGGGTATGGTTCTCCAGAGTTCAAACGTTATATGGACACAGAATAATGGTTATGAGCAAGTGTGGCAGTCACTGAAGTGTGCACACAGTGCTTCACAGCCACAGCAGCACCACACTCTCAAAACAGGCTCAAAAACAGGCAGCATTACTCAGAGAGCAAAATTATGTCGACTGCCAAGATTGCCACAGTTGCTACATGACATTTCAGCTATTATCTGTACAAGCACATATCATAGTGCTGGTTAATCAGAAAATTGAAAAATATTCTGGTCTTGCAGTAGTGGCAGAAGCTGTCTGGATATTGGGATATCTATCCCAAAGGTGGCTGCTTGTTCCATTACATACAGCATTCCCCATTTGATGGCTAAAACATCCTGCATGGGACAAGATCTATGGAGTCTGCAAACATAGGCATAAAAATCAGTAGAGCCATTGAAGGGCAAGGGGAACATCAAAAAAACCCCACGACTCAGAAACACAGACAACTGAAACTGACCTTCATGGATGTTCAAAGTTAAAAGTAAGCTCTCATTCCCAGAACTGCCTTTCATCAGCACTCAGCACAAAGCAAGCACATTACTTCCCCAAACACCCCCTTTCCTTCCCTTTTGGAAAGCAGAGAGGAAAAGAAATCAGCTGACCTTTTGAACAGTAGTAGTGAGGTCCAAGCAGAGCTGAATGATTCTGTTCTTCATTGATGAAAAGTCAGCAATACCAGTAAATGGGGTCCTACAACAAGAGAAAATTCCCTTTAGATTGGAGGGACTAGCCTTCTCCCATCCTGCCTTACCAGGGAGAGAGCATATGAGAGCAAGTGCTGCAACTCTGACATTGGCACAGGTGTGAGGATAGTTTTACAATGTAAATATTCCTGGTTGCATAGTCCTGCACCACTCTTGCACCAAAACTGGGAATCTTCTAGCCCTGTCCTTGGGTTTACCAGTGAGTAGACCTCCAACTTTCTGACTGGACAAGAAAAAATTTCTCTAAAAGAAGAAAAATAGATTTTCACATATTTCACACAGAGGTGCAGAGAGACTTAGAGAAGAATCATTACAGGTAGGGCAGCTTTAGTAGGGTTCTACTTCTGACCTTTCAGACAGCTGCAAAACCTAGAAGAGAGGTTGAGAAATAACCATAGCAGGTTTGGAAATGGACAAGCCAGCAATTTTGATGACTGCAAGTTACAGAAAAAATTTAGGGTGAGCTGCCAGCAACAGAGTGAGAGGGGAGGACCAGGTGAGAGGCACAAAGTGTTAACATCACTGCCTGGACACAGATCAACTCCTTGCTTGAGAGCAGGATAAAAGTGCTCCTTGCTGCCAGTCCCTGCGCAGTTCTTCTCCTAATTTTCCTTCTCAGGAAAGTCAGCAAGGGCTTTGAGAATTTATGTTCATCTGTTATCATGGACTGCAGCCCTGCCAGCACCTGACCTGCTGCAGCTGTAACAAAATAACTCTAGCTCTTTCCAGGCAAAAAACCAACTCAATAAGAAAAAAAAAATAAAAAGAGAAAATTAAATAGCAGCAGGATAATCTCTCCCACTGCTCTGTTTTCAAATCACATAGCTAAAGCCATGATTTGAGCAGAGCATTAAAAAAAAATCTTTCAGGAAGGGATCTGCCAATGACAAGTAATTTAGAAGCTGGGAAAACCATGTGTATGAGAAACTGACCTAAAAGGGAACACTCATACTTTTATAAATACCAGTTTGAGTACAATGTTAACAGTTTTATTGGTTTTAGCAAGAGTGGAAGTGCAAGAATAGATACCCTAGGCTAAATTTATCCACTAGAGGTCTTCTGGCAACACCAAAAAAAGGGGTTAGTGACATCAAGATTTTACACCCAAGCATCTAGGAAAGGCCCTACAAAGAGAAGCAATTAATTAGAGCAGCAAATTAAAATATAACCATTTTATTCTTACCTGTCCAACCACGCAAGCAAGGCTTTAGCAGCACCAATGAGCTCTACGACAGAAGTAAGGAATTCATTGGGGGGCTTGCGAGAGGTATTTCCATCATAATTTGAACTTTTCCTACGGCTGCTGATGTAGTTTTGCAGATTGTTGGATGACCCTCGCAGCTTGAGAACCAGGTTCTTCATATTGTCTGTTTCAAGGCCATAGTTCTGCAAGGAACATTATAAAGCTTGATAAATATCCTTGTTGAGTTCTAGTATTTATTATAAAACAAGTTAAAAGCTCACATGGGATGAAAAGTCTTGACAATTTGCACAACTTTCTCATGGTTTTTGGCAAAAATGCCTTCAAAGATTTGTTCTGCACTATAGCCACTAAATACTTCTGTGGGTGCCAAGCCTCAGTTTCTGTCATTAACGAGATTTAAGGACACTTTTTAATCAGAATGAAGTCCCAATGTCCTAATAGATATAATTTACTTGTTAATAACTGGATTGTGTTGGTTTTCTTTGTGTTAAAGAAGAGCAAGCATTTTATTTTTCTTAAAAGTATTTTCTATCCTGTGGTAAATAAACACTGAAGTAACATTTCATTCACAACTAAAGATAAGTTAGATCTGGTAAGAGATGAAAACATCAACAGGAAGCAAATGCAATTTTGCAATCAAAACCTTGAGTAAATATTTGGATCACCAGTTTTCAGTAACTGTGCTCCTTGACTACAACAGTGCAATTATTTGCAAGTTTGAGGACAGTGTTAACATCATACATGGTAATTAAATTCATTTTTAGACATGAAATTTTTTATTCATTTACAAAACCTAAAAAAAACTGAGTCTCACCTATAACTTCGACTTTATAAACTCAAATTCCTATTTTTCTTGAGAAAAAAAAAGCAAAAAGACCAAAACAACAAAAAACAGTCCCACCAGAACAAAACAAATACACAGAAATACAAGAGAGTCCTACCCTTCATGATTCTTTTGCTGCTGCAGATTCTTGCAATTAACCTCCAAGTTCCATAGTTCAGTCAGATATACTCTCTACTCTACTTTCCTACTCAAAAAGCTAAACCAACTAAGGCAAATTTTAATTCCATTTAATTCCTAGTTTCCAGGAGTTCCTAATATCTCCACTCAGAAACACCATCCAGACTGAAGGGAAGCTTTGGTGGTCTCAGACTAACCTCCTGCTCAGAACAGGCTCAGCTGTAACCTCAGACCAGCTCATTCAGGATTTTATCCTGTAGAGTCTTGAAAACCTCCAAGGATAGGGTGCACAGCCTCCCTGGACAGCCTGATCCACCTGGTCTGACTGTCCTCAGAGTAAGAAAATGTTTCCTTATATCCAGCTTGAACATCTTATTTCAACTTCTGCCATGCACAGCCCAGCTCTGCCATCCTGACAACTGTTCTCCACCCTTGTGGGTGCTGGGATCTGCTTTGGCCCTCCCTGGAGCCATCTCTTCTCCCCAGCTGAAGAAGTCCCAGTCCCTCAGCCTCTCCTCAAGGACAAGTACTCCAGCCCTGAGCAAGCTGAAAGCCCTTCACTGAGCTTGCTCAGGTTTCCCTGTACCTTTCCTGTTCTTAGGGGCGGGAGGCATATTTAGACTAAGGAGTGACAACTAAAGGGTGATAAACACTTCCCTCCCTCTCCCATTAATGCAGACCAGGATGCTGCTCGGGCACAGTGCTGGATTGTAGCTCCATTCCCTCCAGGGTGAAGCATCAGGCTGGACTATTTCAGATTAAGTAATTTATAAAATGCAAGAATCTTTGACCCAAAGAAACACACGTCTCCAGTGTAATGGAGAGTTTTCAGCTACACAGCTACCTTTAAAATACTACTGCCTCTTATAAGATCCCAATGGGTCTGAGTTACTCAAGCACCTCCATCCTCCACCTCAGGGCCCTTGTCAAGGAAATACCCCTAAAATGCAGCCAGGAGTAGGGGTTGAAAGGATATTTTTAAAAATGTCACTGTTGCAACAGCAAAGGGTATCCTTACATTTTCCAGGATCACAGAAAGGGAAAGATCTGGATTACTAAACAACTTGAAAGTACTTGCACATTGTGATGTGTGAATTTACCACCTTTTAATTTTAACAACAAAAAACAACAAAAAAACAATACCAAAGACCCAGTACCCCAAGAGCATTATTTGGATGCATTTTTTGGAGTTAGTGTTATCTTCCTCTTAGAAGACTGAATATTAGTCTATTGTTGAGGGAAGTTTTTTCATAAACAGGTCTGGACGTGAGGCAAGTTCTTATGACCACAAGAAAGAAGCCACATATCAGAAATCCTCCCCTTAAAGAGGGGAACTAAAGGACATTGATCCTCTGCTTTCATAAAGGGACAGACAACAGAAAATAGTTTTTCTGTGCAGAGGTATAACCACCTAATCACTCTGATGAGAACTTGAGAGTTTTCATGTAATTAATCTCCAGATATTTCTTTCTGTCATTCAGATGCAGAAACTCTGCCAACCACCTGTGGGTACTTGAAATTAGAGGCAGCACCAACATTTAAGAAGACACATGTTGATATACCAGGTAAGATTTTTGGGCTTGGCCTTAAAACATTCACATACCCCTTATCACACCTCTTTCACCTTATTTTTACCATGGGTGAGTCTGGTGTGACTCTTCCAGTCCAGATAGCTTTTAAGTAATTCTGTCAAGTAGTTCTCAGTTTTGAGGGTGACTTCAGCAACACAGATGCTGCCTCTAGGGATGCAGGGGCTCCAGCTCATCACTGCAACTGTCCAGGAAGGTCCTGAGCAAGCACCACACCTATCCAGCACAACACAGGGTATGCAGCACTTGAGTGCCAGGACACCAAATTGGACAACTGTGGATGAGCCCTAGTGGATGAACTACCTCAGAAATAGGAGTCATCCCAACCCAAGCCACCTCTGCTCAACAGTTCCCTCACTTTCTGCTCTAATACACAGAAAGCATTTTTCCCCCCTCACCAACATAGCAATGTGTCTATCCAAGCTGAAACTCTCTTGATCAGCTCTGACATCACCAACTATTCTTTCTCCTTCACTTGCAATGTCCAAGTCTGTTGGGAGAGTTGGCTTGGGGATCTAAACAATACAAAGAAATCTAATCCCTTGGTTTAGCTCCCTGAAGTAGCTCACTTCAGGGTCAGGTGAGTGCAAGCACAAAGGACCACTAATCAGAGGACAGGAGGGGGTGGAGACAGCAGCTGACTTGGATTAATTTAACTTGTCATAGAACTGTAGCCCCAATCCCTGACAGATAGGAATGTTGATATTGTGGCAGCACACCAAACAACCTTCACAGTGACACACAGTTGAAGTGCAAACCTTAGCAAGCTTTTCTTGAAATATTTCCACAGGACTAAGGCTACAAGAGTTAACAAATTGTAATTTAAGCAACCAAAACGTTTTAGATGTTGCTCATGAACCAAAGAAAAGGTTACATTTTACTATCGCTCCTGATTTTAAACATCAAAGTTGTTATAATCTAAACACAGGCTGAAGCCAGCGGTCAAGAGCACCAGATGTCAAACATTCCCAGGCTATTACTCATTAACCTGGGGAGCCACATGCAGGGCTGGAGGAGAGGCAGAAACCACACGTGCAGGAGAGAACACATGAGCTCACTCCTTCTAAACTCTATCACATTTAATGTGAAAAAATAATCTGACCAAATAATGGCTCAAGGTCAGGCAGCCAACACAACAAAAAATTAAAAAAACAAAACAAAACAAAAAACGTGGCTAACTGAAGTCAAAAGAGCAGAGCAGTTGTGTCAGAGCTGAACTGGGCTGATGAAGAGCTCTGCTACTGCCCAGGGACAGCATCCTCTTTCCTTTCACAGTCATGTTCACATGCTGCAATGTGATGAGTTGGACATGCTGGCTGATGGAACTGAAAACCTGCTCTGGGAAAAAAAAATGAATAAAACCAGTTCAAATGCTTCCTCAGACACTGATCCAACTCACTGCAGGTCTATATAAACATCTGCATTAACACAAGGTACTATCACAGTCACCCATTCTTGCTCTTTTCCTTTCAACAAAAATGCATTCTAAAGAATCCTCTGGAGTAGCAAATTTTCTAATAAAGAACACAAAATTTGAATCCTCTAAAACCCCTAAAATTTCATATGGTCGTGCATAGATATCCCTTGACAATGATTAGGGCCCAAAGGGTAAGTCTTCACATATGTATTTTTTTTCATGTTATGATATTATATTTTGTTATGCTGCAAATATGCTGGCAGAACATTACCACCAGTAAAATTATCAAAGGCACAATTATGTCCTTTTTTGGTTATGGGTTTTTTTTCAAGGTTTTTTTCTTTAATTGCATATAATTAATATCTCTTTATTCTAAACTCAAGAAAAATCCACAGCTTTTTCGTTTCCAAACTCTCCCATCATACAGTGTAGGCAAAAATTCAGAAAACAAATCCAAGCAACACATTAAAAGTGAAAATATTTGCATAGTTTCTTGCTTGCATTGATTTATATTCATTATGCCCTCAAAAGCTTGTTTTCTGTCCCTGCTTCTGTGGATTAAAAAGCCAAGTTATGTATGTTTGTTCCCCCCTTCCCCCAAACCCTTCAATCAACAAAGAAACATGATCTTTCTTCCATGCCTTTCCCCCCCGCACACAACAAGCAGTAGTGTCAACAAAAAGTTGAAATACTCAAGTTGATGATTTTTCCCCCCCCACCCCTTTCAGGGGCAATTCAGGTCCTCTGATATATTCTCTAAATTCCTCAAATAAGTCTTCAATAGTAGAAAACTCTACCCCCAGAACAATAGAAATGTGTTTATCCCAGTCTACACTCTCGCGCTGACTCTTCAAGAGTCAGCCACTGCTACAGGACACGAGGGAACACTGCTTCATCACCAAAGCAGAAGAGAAAGATGCATTAATTTCTTTTTCACACCAGAAACTTCTAGACATATTTTTAGCTCTGTGCCACCAAATAGTACTCAACCCCTAGAAAAACTAAATTAAAAAATCAGGTGCATTTGGTGTCCTTTCTCAAGGCAAGGATTATGTTCACACTCTATTTAGTGACTCATCTACTGAGGCCAGAACAAAGGTCTGTATGGTGAATGCTTGAAAAGAGATACTGCAGAAGAAAGATCTTCCAAAGAGCTTTCTCACTGTCTTTAGAGCCACATGTGTTCTTGTGGTGTGAGGGAACCAAAGCACTGATCTAAAGGAAACTCAGATGGGAAACTGTCAAGACAAAACTAGATAAAAAGGGAAATTCTTCTTGGGAACTCCAGGACTGGGAAACCACCAAAATTCCCCCTCAGCCTTTCTCTGCCAAGAAATGACAACGTTTCAGAGAGTCACATCAGGCTGGCCCAGCCAATGCCACATTTCCAAAGGGTGAGCTGACAGCTTAGTGGGGGTGGCAGTGGTGTCAAAATAGGAAGAACAAAAAAGAAAAAAAAAAGAACATATTAAAAGAAAAAAATTTAACAATAGTTCCTTTGCTTACAAGGCCACAAAAGTTGGGAAAGTATCAGCATATATACAGAACATCCACTAAACAATAAACAATCCCACTTTCAAAGAACTAATGCAGGTGGAATCAGGAAGCCTCTCTCTTGCCAAAATAGAAGAAACAACAACAAAAAAATAATTTGTCAGTAGCATTTAGCATCCCCTTGGAAACAAAATCAAAGCTCAAGGGAACAGGCATCAAGAAGGTGGCAAAGGGCATACTGAAAACACAGGAATTCTTCCTTCACCTCTTAAAAAGGGAACAAGTACATTTCAGCTGTAATGTGCAATATCTGTCTAATGCATTAACTTGAGCTGCATTTCACAAAGGATTTCCAGAAATGGGTCTGAGGTCAAAACTTTTGTCTACAAAGGAAATTAGGAGGAAATTGTAGGAGATAAAACACAGCTTTAGGTTCTGGCGGTTGTCCAGCTTTGTTCACTTTATTCTAATATATTTAAGAGAATAAAAAAGTGCCTTTGGGGACTGCCACATAGATTGCTTCAGTCAGGACCATATACAGCCCACACTACATTTACTAACTCACCCCTGCACTTGCCCAACAAGTTCCTTCCCACACCATGAACTGCTTTTCAGTCTAATTACATTCTTCTATTAGGTTTTTAAGTTAATGTTAAAAAATTTCGGTAGATCAAATACCTAAAGGAAATAAAGTGTCTTTCAAGTCTAAGAGTAACTCTTTAAAAAATACTTTAGATCACTTGAAGAGATTTCATTAAATATACTTCTTTCAGTACAATTTGCTCTAGGTAGTGCAGCAGGAACACTCCCTGTAGCACCTCTCAGCAAATAAAGCACATATCACACAGGCAATAAAGACTCTCCATTTTAAGAAGCATAAGCTTGCTGCCGCAAGCCTTGCCTAATGTAGGGAAGACAGGCCAGTGCTGGCCAAGGAATCATCAGGCAGGCTTTCCCACCCTCCTCCCTGAAGTACTCATATATACCTCTGGTGCTCACTACATCAAACAGGCCTTCAAGACTGTGACCAAACTGTGGCTTTTAAATAAAGCCTGCACTAGTAAAACAATCCAACATATATTCATTCTTTTCAGAGTATGTTTGTTTCCAAAGTATCTGCAGTTATATATCAGGAGAAGAGCAAAGGACTAGCTTAAGTTCTCAATCCAATGAAGAGTTCAGCTAGATTGTAACTGAGGCAGCTAAACATCCCTCAACTCAAGAATTAATTTTTCTTCACTTCCTAGGTTTGCTACAGAATTACCCTAAACCCCCTATCAACTGATGTGAGGACTTCTAGCACCTGTAATTTCAAGAGTATGTCTTCTGTCTTCTAAGACAAACTGTTCATTAACAAGAATCAGAAGATCTAACAATGTCACTCAGACAACTTCTTCCTTTGGAAGTGCAACCAAATGAATTGAAGTTGCCTCTTATCAGGAAAAAGAGAGCTATTAATACAAAACTTGCAAGAATTAAACAAATTCTTACTTTTTCTTTTATCGTGATGTGTAACAGAAAGCAAGAGACAAAGGTATTCTGATTTTAATCAGTCTTGGTTTGGTTATTCACCCAAAAAAAGCCCTTTAAGAAATTCTTTGCATATCTGTTCACAATTTAACTAACCAGTGCACACAGGAGATCCACAGCCTCTAGAACCAGTTCCTGGTGTCCAATCCGTGAGATACCTAAGTCTTCAAGGTCCTGGTGAGAAATCTGTAACAGCTGTTCACCATTTATCTTCTCCCGTTCAAACTTAGGGACATACTGCTGCAGGCAATCATCCAGGCCTACCAAAACACAAAAGAGACAAGGGGACATCAGAAACAAACAAACAAAACCCCCCCAAAAAAAGGAGAGGGAAAAAAAAAAAAAAGACCTTGCAGAAATTTTAAGTTCATATAATATACAATGCAAAACTATGAAGGAAACTGGCAGCGTGACTGAGGTTGTACCACGGGAGCATAGAAATAGAGCACATAAATTATGGGGATCTTTGGGTCCCCTAAGTCAATGCACAACCAGTCTGCTCCTCGTGGATCAAGCTCCACCAGTAAAAATGTACTTTTGTTGTCTGCACAGGCAAAGTGACCAAGGGACACACACACCAGGGTAACCCAAACCCTGAGGGGCATCCATAGCAACAACAAAAAAAGCACCTGTCAAAAACAAAAAAATCCAAGGCAAGGCAAGAACAAAGATCTTGCCCAAAGACAAAGAAACAAAAGCATAAAATGATAAGGAAAATTAATAAAAAAATAAAACAAAGAGGCAAAGCAATCAAAAGGGTGTTTGGCTCAAGTCTCATTATTACCTTGATTTATAAGAGCCTGCAGCTTCCTGAAGCAGCCATTGCTTCCCCTTTCTGAGGATCAACAACACACCAGTAAGAAATCTAATTCATTTTTCTATCTAGAAGTATTTTAAAAACAGTTTAGACTATTTTGTCACAGCAATATCCCCCAAATCTTCATTTTAAACTGTGATTCTATGATCCTGTTCTCTACATTAGGTTTTCCCAAGTGATTACAGAAAGTGTTTCTGGTTTTCATCTTATTTTACTCTAAGCTTCATGTGTTAATCCTGTTTCCTTGTGTATTATCCTTACTTCCTCTGTTGTTTAAGAGCCTGTGAGCAGCAACATTCTGGGGGGGAATTCAGATGGATGTGCTATTTTTAAAATGTTTCAGTGCTCTTATAACTCTGTTCCTCTTCAATATTTTGGCTAGAGCAAAACGAACAGACCCAATCAGGTCTGTGTCACAGGAATACACCACACTCATTGAAAACAGTTGACATGAGCAAAAATTCAGATAACACATTTGACATCTTCGTATAGTCCACAACAGCTACATTGTTTCACCATTCTTTTTTTTAAAAAAAGTTGAACCTTTACTTGAATAAAGGATGTTTATGCACAATTCTGGTTCAAAAGGAAACCATTGAGATGGACAGGATATCAAACACAGCAGATGAGAAACAAGAACAGCATCCTGAACTACAGAGAAATGAGAGCCAAAAGACCAGCACTCGGTTCCACTCACGGAGCTGCAGCAGCAGCCTGGAAAACAAGCACTCCCAGCACACTCCAGCACCAAGAAAACACTTGATGCAGATGACACAGGGGTTTGAGGCGTCACATGAAACCCATCCCCGTTCAGAGAGCGGCAGGAGCAGCCAGCCCTTCCTCCTGGCAGCGCCTGCTCTCAGCGGAGGGGCAGGGCACGGGCTCGGCAAGGCACAGGCTGACCAAGCACACACCGCTGGCCTCTCCGAGTGACAGGGCTCGGGCAAGATTCATTATTGGAGTAAATCAACACCTGGCCGAACGAGCTCGACTCCTCCCGCGCAGAGCTACCAGGGCACACAGTTGGATTTTTAAGCGCAATTATGAACGGGAAAACCCAAGTGCCAGACTAGCAGAGTCTCCCAGAGCTACACTTGTTCAGGGTGCACTCTTGTTTCTTCCCATATGTCTTGGCAAAGCTGCACAAATTTTGAAAATCGAGCCCAATGTTCTCTTTCCCACAGGCACCAAATTCCCCCTTAGGCTATACAAACTCTTTTCCCAGGAAAAATAATAAAGGAATAACTGGCCTTCATTGTTTAACAATTTATTTTTTCAAACAAATTCACAACCAAGGCTGACATACAATGCACATATTTGGCATTCCCAATTTTTATTGCTGCCTCACAGACCACTGTTTCCCATCATTTGCTCTTGTAAGCCCAGAGTTTCCATTACAAACTACACAAACACCTAAAATAAAACACTTCATTCAGCATGCAGTGAAGGTTTTAAGTTTTTTTAATGCAGTTTCGTTTTTGCCCACTATCCTTTCTAGAACTTAATTCTATGCTAAAACACGGAGACTTAAATGTATATATCCTCCCCTAGAAATACAACTCTAGCTTTTATCTTGACTGTGCCTTTTTAAACTCATGCTTGCTCATTCTTGAAGGTCTACTAAATACTTCAAGGGTTACTTTTAAAAAAAATTTTAATCGAGAGCCCTTAAAGACACTTTCATAATCACACTCTAGGACTATATTTTATAAAATAAGTTATTACAAAATTGCACAAATGTTGACTCAAAATAGCCAACATAGTGGCACAACTACTCAGCTAGGCACGTTTTTAAGATTAAATGACCAAAACTATGCAAAGCAGGAAGTGAAGACAGAACCACAAACTAATGTATTGGTAGACAGTTTAAGATGAGCTTACCAACATTAGGAACATGGTTATTATTTTTACTAAGAAACCTAGAGGGAAATAGTAAATATTTTGATATTGCAACCACATTTTATAGCCTATAGTTTAATTTTCCATTATATGAATGGAATGTTTAATCATATGCAAATCAAAAACATTATGTGCAAATTACACTTCCAAGAGAGAAGGGAGAAGGAAGGAAAAGGACTCACAACCCAATTCAATAAAGTTTAATAATATTTAAGCAAAGTTTTAAACTCAGCATTCAAATGTCACTAGTAGTCTAAATGAACTGCTCATTTTTCCCTTCTTCCAAACATCTATATTCTTTCCATGTATTTTCTCCATGAACCTCAGAGCCTTACAGAGACTTTGTATTGCGAATTGCAATGTCTGGATATTGCTAAAGAACTTAGTATCTTCTTAAGTAATGTAAGAAATTATCTAAGCAATGCTGACTTGCTTTTTATAGTTTTTAGTTCATTTTTCTTACATGCCAGGTCATTTTCAATAGTGTAATATTAGCGGGTTCAAGCAAGAAAGTAGTTTTCCATATTTCTGAAAAAAATACAATTAAGACTGACATTTAAAAAAGGTATCTATATTTATCTCCTTATCCACCGAACAGCCTTTCTCACAGCTAATCTATTAATTTTAGGCCCAAAGTGTGTTTAAAAAGCCTTTGTCTCAATCACGTGTGTGAAATATTTACATTATTTCTTGCACATACAACAAAACCATGCACAAAAAAATGTCCTTTCTATTTACGTAATTGTTAGAGGATGAGGAAAGGTAGAAATAAAAAAAGCAATTGCAGAATATTATTCAAGTTTTAGAACACTAGCATCAGATATTTTGTGGGGGAGAATGAGAGAGACAGACTAATTCAGTTAGTGTTAAGAGTGTTGTGAAAACCTTTCTGATGAACAGCAATGTAATTTGAATAAAACTCCCTCCCACCCAAATTTTGGCAGGTGTAAAGATGTGCAATAGATCCTAAGAACTGTCTAGACTTTCCTGTCTAAAATAACCACCAGGCAAAGCACCCCTGAAGACATTCAATACCTTACATTCATGCAAAAACATTAGGACAGAGCTTACACTCAAGGATTTGCACTGATACCAATCTCAGTCTGTTTCCACAATTAAGAAAGTTATTTTGTATAAGAATTGAGGAAGAAAGAAACAACTTTGTGGGAGTTAAGGGTGAGGCTTGGGTCCAAGCCATAACTATCGGTTTTCTATTCAGAGAGAATTAACATTTCTATAGTTGAGAGATGTCAGCCATCGAGCAGTGGCATACCTGACTTCCCAAAAACTACAGAGGTGTGTTTTGTGAGCAGAGTCGTTAAGCAGTTTCATGCATTTTTGCTCAACTTCTTCTTTGAGCACTACCAAACAATTTACCTACCAAAAAAGCAACGATTAACTAATCTATTACAGGCACAGCTGACTCACCATGTCTTTTTTCCTCCCTCCCTCCCTCTCTTTTCTTGCGATATCACAGTGAACAGAGTCTGTACACTCCACAGACCAAGGCAGAGAGCAAGGAAGAGGGGAGAGATCGAGCAAGGGACTGAGGAAGGCACGAGGAGGGGGAAGGAAGCTGGAATATGACAGGGATTACTTTCCATACATTCAAGAACTTGAACACAGTCTCAGGACGCCTCATAAAATGCCAAAAGTTGACACCAGGAAGCGGGAGGAGTCCAAGCCACTTGAACAGAGGAAGGACTCAAGTACAAAACCTTTTCCTTCACCTAGCAGGAGCACGGGAATCACTGCTCACTGTCTCAAGGAAGCAAAGCATTATTATGATCATCTTCTCTCCTCTGTTGGGCGACTCTAACAAGCAGGCATCTCAGGGCAGAACCAAGGTTCTACAACAACCCTCATCCCATTAAGGGGCTCCCTGGGACCTTTCCCATTAAGGAGCTCCCTGGGACCTTGGATAGCCAGTCAGGATAGAACTGCCAAAGTCATCATTGCCTTCAAACTGACTTTCCCACATAAAAAAGTCACTCTTACTCTGATCTGCTCCTCAGGGTCTATATAGTTGACACTTTTAGTACCCAAAAATTCCCTGCACACATCAACTTCATCCCTCCCAAGCCTTGCAAGATAATCAGTTGTGTGAGAATCTTCGGCATACCCCACGGAAAGTGCCATTATACGGTCACTTACATTCCACATCATTTTATAACGTTACTGTGATAGCTTCCTCCCGTCATTTCCTCTATTTCCAGGACTGGAAAAAATTAATCAAAGATAAAGCAGGAGGGAATCAAGGCAGCAAATCAACACTAGACAGGGAAAATAACTACTTCATAAGCAGATGGACCAACACCTGAGGAGGCAAATAAAAATAAGGAAAAGAGGTCTACAAGGCAGCTGAAAGCTGAAGCAGGTCAGCAGGACAGATACAGGGTGAAAAGAAATAAGAAAAGTTCAAGGAGAGAAAAGAATAATAATACACTGTTTTCTTTAATATAGAACACAGTGGGAAGGTTTTACACAGTAAAATCACAGATGCCATTCTCCTGCAGTATTACAAACAGAACCAGGGATGACTAA